AGCAAAAAAATAATAATCCTAAGCAAAAAAAAATACTCAAAGATGATGCTTGTGGATTTATCTTTGCATAGAAGGAAAGCACATATGGTTGTTTTGTTTTTATTTTTTGAGATTGGGTCTTACTTTGTTGCCCAGGCTGCTCTCAAACTCATGCGCTCAAGTGATCCTCTCACCTCAGCCTCCCAAGTAGCTAGGACTGACTGCAGGCATGTACCCCCAGGCCTGGCTAACATAAATATAAGCATTTTAAATCACATTTGGGTGATTTTTTCAACTAGTTTTCCTCAAAATGATTTTGAAAATAAAGTCAGCATCACTACTATTGAAAAATGATCCTAAGCAGTTCTGGTACTTTTTTTGGCAGGACCAATCTGTCCCTACTAAATGACAATGGCCTGTGCCTAATTTATTTATTTATTATTTTATTTTATTTTTTTAAAGAGAGAGTGAGAGAGGAGAGAGAGAGAGAGAGAGGGAGAGAGAGAATTTTTAATATTTATTTTTTAATTGGCGGATACAACATCTTTGTTGGTATGTGGTGCTGAGGATCAAACCTGGGCCGCAAGCATGCCAGGCGAGTGCGCCTGTGCCTAATTTAAATGGTAATGTGTGAAATGTTAAAACATCCACTTGCAGACTTACCAACTGACCAATTTGTTCACTTTTTAATGGTGTTTTCTCATCATTCAACATGTATTTATTGAGAACCTTCTATGTCTACACCAGGCACTGGGCATGACAATGGCCAATAAAATAGACTCGATCAACAAACAGAGCAAGACAAACAATAGGACATATAATGATAGAACCATCTGAAAATCACCTGAGGGACCAAGGAGGGTGAGCTCACAGTCTTTGGAAGGAAATTAAAACACGAAGGGACCAGGGCTACCTTGGCTATCTGGCCAGTGCTGGGGTGTGGGGGAGAGGCACTCATTTGCCCTCTTCCCTCTTAAATAAGGCAATAAAGGAAGAGAAGAATTCACTAATCTGGGGAAGGGAGGGGCTTTTCAGGAGGAGGGAAGTGAAGGGACAAAGATGTGGAGGCCAGAAAAGTCTGATTTGCTCCCAGGAAACCAGCTGGTGGGGCAAAGGGCAAGAGGTGAGGCTGAGAAGTTAGTGCAGCCCAGGGCACAAAGCTTGGCAAGCCCTGCCAAGGATTTCTACCCACTGCACTTCAGCGACTTGGGCACAGACTCTGATGACAGCTGGCACTGGGAGAGGACCCAGGAGAAAGAATCCAAAAGAGGGAGATTTTTTCCTCTGGTGCCTCAAGGAGTCCAGGTGGCACAGTGGTGAGGACTGGGCAGGTACGGCTCAGCAGAAACTGGAGCTTGAACTCCCTCTCTGCCCACCTGGAGCCGCATTGCCCTGACACTCAGACCTCAGTCCCCCAGTCTGGGATGCTACTGCCACCGTGGCTTGCTGAGGGCATGAATGAGATGCTGATAAAGCCCTGGTGCTCAGAAAGTCTTCAGTCTTCTTTTCCCAGGACTGCCATCAGGTTCCACGGAGAGCCGTAGCAAGAAATGCATAAGTAAGAAAGGCAATGATTCCACTGTGACCTCTGCAAAGCGTGTCACAGAAGGTACACTTGCTGCTACAAGATAGGTAAGAGGCGTGACAGCTGGAACAGGAGGCTCCAGGCATTTCTCCTCGGCCACATCCTGGCAAGCAGGAGTTGGGGCTGAAGGAGCAGAAATGTGGGCATCAGGCATGTGCCCCCAGAGTCAGATGGCAGCCCTCCCAGGTGCTGCAGTCAAAATAGCTGAGCTAGGTCACAATAAACTGCGCATTGCAAAGGATCTACAGGTGCTGCCTGCCTGTGCCTGTCCTCTCAGGTCAGCTGTGTGCGTCTTGGCAGCAGCTCCTCCTCCTGCACCCACACCCACCTCACCCTGGCTTCTTAGAAAAGGAGTCATGCTAATGCCCTGGGGCTGGTGTCACCCTCACCTCCACAGCCTCTGTGGGCTTTGCACAATGGCAGCTTGAACTGCAGTCCTTCCCCTCCCTAAGCTAGCTAAAGAGCAGGAGTGTCTCACTCTCTGCTTCTTTCTCTAGCCCAATAAGGAATAATAACATCATCATCAAAAATAATAATGGCAGCAGTGTGCCTGGTACCATTTTTAATTCTTTTTTTTTCAAACTTGCAAAGATGAGCTTCAAATAGCCACACCATTTTTAATTCTTTACATGTATTATCTTTTATCCTCACACAGACTTAAGAAGTAGGTATTATTGATCCCATCCTCAATTTACAAATAAGAAATCAAGGCCAGGCATGGTGGCACACATCTGTAATCCCAGGGATTCAGGAGGCTAAGGCAGGAGGAGCACAATTTGAGGTCAGCCTCAGCAATTTAGGGAAACTCTTGTCTCAAAATAAAAATTTTAAAAAGGGCTGGGGATGCAGCTCAGTGATAGAGCACCCCTGGGTTCAAATAGGAGGTGTTGGAGGGGAAAGAGAGATAAAAGGGGAAGGGGGAGGAGTAGGAAGAGGAGGAGGAAGGGAAATTAGGACACAGAGAGCTTAAGTAAACTGTTAAGATCACCCAGCTATAATTAACAAGTCATCCAGAAGCACAGCCCCTCCCCTGGGCCTCCCACCATTAATGAGAAGGTGTTCTTTAGAAGAGAGGAGGCGTCAGTATTCATGGGCTGTTCCTGAAYTTATTCTACTGTTGTCTGCTTGCTTGAAAGATGGCAGGTGGTTTAATTGGGAGCTTCCAGTATCCCACAACACACCCATTAAAACAGCAATTCACTTTGGGAATGAAATTATAATTGGGTGTGTTCCATTGAGTTTACATCACCAGCCTAGCCAGAGCAAGCACCCTGGGGACACACCACAATAGGATCAGTGGCCTTACAAACAGACAAACCTGCTGCTACTGACTGGACTTTACCCATTTACATGCCCACCCAACGGTAGGAAACACAGCCACCCAATCCACCCCACTCACTCAGACACACCTACCACATGCATTGAAAGAGACCCMAATACGTGACCCTCAGGCAAAGATGATACACACCCATCCAGACTCACCCTGTGGCACCCACATATTCACTCAGGACCCAGAAGCTCCTGCAAGAATAGGCAAAGTCAGACACATGCAGATGTGAGTGCACACAGTACCTATGAGGAGGAAGAGCTGGTACCCACACTTCCCGGGGGAACCGACGGGCACTGAGCTAAGCCTCTGGATCACTCACACTTGATCTTAGTTAACCCTCTCACCTCTGAGCAAGGCACACGTTCTTTTTTATCATCCACTTATTACAAATAGGGAAACTGAGCCAGAGGTTTTACAATAACTCACCTAGGGCCACAAGCCAGGAAGCAGTGGAGCAGGGCTTGAATGTAGGTAGTCAGGCTCCTCAACTGCTCCCAGAACAGAACAAGGCATCACCCTGACCCCACATAATTGCCATCACGGTGAGGGGGGGCACACCTTGTACCTCCCAAGCAGAACGTGACTTGCCTCAAACCTGCTTCCCTCCCAGTCAATAGCTCTGCCATCTGTCTAGTCTCCTAAGGCGGAGAGCTGGGAGTTATTTGCAGTTCCTCTTTCCTTCAGTCCCCCAGCCCACTCCTCAGCACGGGAGCCCACCCCTCCACCTCCACTGCCCTGGCCCAGCCAGCGCGCTCTTGCAACAGCTCCAACAGCCTCCCGCCTCCATGCCTGCTCCCTGCTTCCATCTTCCACACAATGAAATCATGTCATTCCCCCACTCAAATTCCCCCACTCGCCTCTCATTTTACTGAACAGAGTCCGCATCTAACATTCTAGCCTACAAACCCCGAGGTGCAGCAGCCGACCTCACCCCTGCTTCACCTGACAGAGGCCTTGCGGTCCGTGGCTTTCTGGCCACCCTAGCCACTTTCCCTCTCAAAATCAGCAACTGTTTCCAGCTTAGACACTGTAGTATTAGCTTAGCTTTTCACTCCACCTGGAATGTTCTTTCTCCTGGTCTCCACCTGGCTGGCTCCTTCTTGTCAATGAGCTGTCCCCAGAGACTGTGGCAGAGGAGATGGCTACCTGTCCCTCAAGCTTCATGCTGCCCCTTCTGTAGGGAGGGATCTGCTTTTTCTACCTTCTTGATTCCTCACTGGCCAAACTGTTGCCAGGAGACCCGAGATAGAGCTGATACATATTTCTTCCAGGTTGACACTTGAGGGAACAGGTCTTCTATCCTACACGTTCCCCTTTACCTTTAGCAAAAAGCAAAGGACTCTGAGGCTCTGGGGTGACACAGCTTCTAGATGGAAAGAAAACTGTGTCCTCAAATCACCACATAGAAGAAAGCTACTTGTTATCTAACCAGCAGCCACAAACTAGACTGTTACATGAATAAGAAATAACCTTCCATTTGAGAAGCCGCTGCAATGGGACTCAGCTGATACAGCAGCTGGAGCTACCCCACCACAGAGACACAGCCCGCCTTCCCGCTCAGGAGCCACCCTGTCCCCTCATCACATCATTCGGCATGGCATTAATCATATTTGATATGTTATTCATTTACTTGATATCTGCCTTTCCCAACTGGAACATTATATCCCTGGGAGCCATGACCTTGTTCACCTGATTTACTCCTATATTCCCAGAACCCAAAAAAACATCTTGTGCAGAACAGAAAACCAGTAAATACTCTGTAATGAATGAATGAATAAATAAAGATGCTCAGCACACAGTTACTGAAATTGAACAGGAAGAACAGTGGTTGACAGGCATGTCCACCTAGGAGCCGGGCACTTGTCTCCTGTGCAAAGCTACTCCAGGAAGAGTACCCATGGCTCCCTCCTCTCTCTTCTAGTGTTTATGTAAATGTTCTTTTATCCTATTCTCTGAGAGACTCCACACACACACACACACACACACACAGGCTGCCTGCCTATTTTTTTTTTTTTGCCTTTTCTTACTAAATACTTCTAACTTCTACATCTTTTATTTAGTTACTCAGTTAATTCTTTGTCCTAATCCTCCCTGGTAACCTGAGAGCTCCATGGGGTAAGGGCTCTGGTCCACTTTCTTCACGGTAGTGCCTGGCACACAAAGGAACTCAATAAACATTTAGGGAGGGAAGGGAGGGGGAGGGAGCAGAGAGCGAGGGATAAGGAGGCTATGAGGGAAGAAGCGGGTAGATACATGGGTGGGATAATGTGGGGTTTACAGTAGAACCAGGGAACACCAGGTGCATGAGCAGAAGAGGCATTTTCTGAATGAACATTGGGAGTCTGATTCTATTACTGTGGTTCGTGTGCTGTAGCTCTGTGATGAAGTAGTGGATCACGGACAGGATGTCACTGCTTTCACAGGTGCTTCCCACAAAATGAGGGATGATCGATATGCTCGGATACTTGTTTTTGAAATAATCCACGAAGTTGGCAATCAAGGTGGACTTCCCGCAACCACGTTCTCCAGACAAGAGCAAAATAGACTTGAAAGCTGGAAGAGAATTTATTCTGAAAAATAAAGAAGTAAAATGTAGTCAAGAACATTCACCAAGGAATAGAGGAGGAAAGACATCTTCTGTAGACATTTGACTCCAAGAGATAAGAATGTTAGCCTCAGCTGGTTTCAAAGAAGTCTTTCACCCTCTGGGCTTTGGCTTTGACCTATGTAAAATTAGGGGAGTAGATGTTGGGTGGGCAGCCTTCCCTTCCCCCTCCCCTTTCATGGCAGCTGTGGCCAGGGACTTTCCACCTGGCTGAGGAGATGCGAAATGGCCATTCAGAAGCTGACATGGCAACAGACCCCAACCACCACCGGTTCCCACGGCTGAAGCAATCGCCCTATCAACTCACATCAGCTCTGACCAACCAGCAACAGACACGATGCCCCTGAACCCGGCTCGGCAACCTGCTGTGGGTAGCTGCGATTTAGATGGCCTAGGCCTTCCCACCTCCAGCTTCCCTTATTAGCACTGTTCTTGCCTTTCCCACCCACAACTTCCCCGGCCCTCACCCTTTCGTGGACCGGTGAGCCTTGCCCAGGAGCGCCCCCAATAAACCCTCTTTTGGTACCTCATTCTTGTTCCATGGTTCCTGATCTGGCATGCCCTTTCGGCTAACAGTAGAGAGACAGTAACTTCAGAAGGCCTTTGTAGCCACACATATCCTAGGGTTGTCCAGTATGAACTCAAGGTTACGTCAAGGACGCCAAGGCTACAGCCCCAGTCCACTGCCCTCATGCCTGCCTGCTCATTCCCCTATCACCAGGCTTGTCCTTGGTACATCACTATATCAGAAGAGAATAAAAACTGAAGCACTCATACACCAAGAATTCCCATAAATCCCAATGATCACGAAATCAGAAATTCAACTCAATTATCATCATCGTTAGTGATGCTCTGAGAAGTAGCCTGCTTCTCCACCAGGGGATGTTAGCTAGTTGTACTACACAAATATTTTGTCTTTGAACTGACAGAAGCATAATAAAACTTGTTTTGTTGCTTTATTTTCTAGTGWAAACCTTCTGGATATGCAGAAGATTCTCAGGTCCATGACTATCACAACATAGAGATTCTAGTGTTGTTCCTTACAATTATGATTCAATAAGTATGTGTCTAGTGATTTTTTTCATTGATGGGAGTTATTAGATATGGAAAATGACAAACTCCCAAARTAGTGAGGCCTRAGAAAAGGGGAGTGAGATAGAAAGCCAGACATTGACAGCATTGATCCTTTCCCAGTATACTCTTTCCTGATGATAAAACAAACCCTGGGGAAGAGGTGTCCATCAAACCTAGAAAGGCAGTCTCTGGAAGAGGCCAAAGCATTAATCCTTCCCTAAATAAATCCTTTATAGATACCAACCACCGACCCCAGGCCCTCCATCCAGTCCAGTAAGATGAATCCCAGAGACGGAGTGCTGACCCCAGACTCCCTCCCATTTGGCCCAGTAAAATAGACCTCAAATTCCTGAGTGTCCAAGCTGACACACTCATTAATTAAGTCACCTCTCAATATAACCTACATAAACCCAGTTCCCGCCTTTGTTTGGTGGCTCATTTTCCACCAGGAAAGTGGAAAATGAGCCACCAAATTTTCATCACCCCTTTCCTGCAGGAAACTCCATTCCTGAAGGCTGAAATAATCCATGAAGTTTGAATCCAGCTTGGTTCTTTTGTGCTAACAGGAGTACCATGAAGAGGACTGTTCCCAGGATTATTTGATTCACTATTGGATATTTAGTGACTAGCGCAGGACGTGACCATATATTGTTGAACAAGTCAATGAATTAAATGCCATAAAGCTGAATTCTGATTCAGCAAAGCAAGAGGATCAGTTCGAAGACTCTCTAACAGAAACCCTAAAGCCAGGTCATTAAATAGTTATTTCTTAAGAAGTCCATCTCCATTAATATAAATTAGGAATGAATGTTTTATTGCTTAAATTGTTTTGCCAGCAAATTTGAGTAGTGGGATTTGATTGTGTGTTCTACCTTTGTCCTCTGCTCAGTCTAACCTCAACCAATCAGCTAGAGCAAGCCAGACAAAACATTTCACATAGGTGGGTGATTGCTCTSCTTGAAAGCAGCAAAAGTCCAAGTCTGTCCAATGAACAGTGTGGCCAGAAAGACCCATCCAGTATCTCTCCAACCTCTTCCAYTACCTCTCTCTCTGCAGCTTTGACTTCCTGTGGCTGCTGGCCTCCTTGCTATTTGCTCCAGCCTCAGGGCCTCTTCCTCTATCTGGAAGATCCTTCCAATCCATATTCACAGGGCCTGCTTCCTCACCTCTTTCTAGTAGTTATCCCAAATCGCCTTGTCACTGAGGGCTTCCCTCACCAACCAGGTGGCCCATTTCTCTTCAACATTTCCTTGAAGGCACTTGAAGGCATCTAGTATGCTACATGTTTTGCATATCTGTTATGTTCATTGCCTGGGTCCACAATGCGAACCTCGATGGGGGCAAAGATTTTCTGTTGCTTGGCACAGAGCAGGTAAAAATCAACTAACAAGAAATGCAAATCTGATGCATCCGCATACCTAAGGCTAGGGTCTTAATCACTACATCTCAAGAAAAATGAAAACACTGCAAAACAATCTGTGGCTCCTTTTCAAAATGAGAACCYTGTTGGTCTATCTGGTTGTCAATGAAGACACTGCTTTGACAAGTGAATAAAACCACACTCCTCTTCTATTGACCCTTACACACTATTCAGGAACATAYAGAATGGAACATTGTTCCTGAATGGCAAAGCAAGCAAAAGCTCTGCATGTTTTCACATAACTAATCTAAAAGGACTTATTTAATTGCTGTATCTTGTTGGGCCCAATAATTTAAGTTGTTCATTTGCAATAAAATTTACTAGATTTCTCATCCACACTAAAATGCTTAAAATTATAAAYTAAGTGATAAATAATCCACAAACCAAAAAATTCCTTGTTTTAAAGTGAACATTTCAATGATTTTATATATTCACAAATATGTCACTCTTTAATTCCAGAACCTCTACACCCATTAAGGATCATCCTCCATTTCCTTCACTACCCTCATCCCCCGGCAGTCACTTAGCCAACTGTTTCTACAGATTTGTCTCTTCAAGCTTCWCATTTAAAACACAAAACGGGGCTGGGGTTGTGGCTCAGTGGCAGAGTGCTCACCTAGCACGTGCAAGGCCCTGGGTTCGATCCTCAGCACCACATAAAAATAAATAAATAAATAAATAATAGTGTGTCCAACTAAAAGCTAAACATTAAAAAAATAAATAAAACCACACACACACATAACCTATGTGCTTTTCCTGTAGTCTTAAAAATGAGGACTGGGGTTGTAGCTCAGTGGCAGAGCGTTTGCCTTGCACATGTGCGACACTGGGTTTGATCCTCAGCACCACATAAAAATAAATAAACAAAATAAAGGTATTATGTCCATGTATAACTAAAGAAAGATTTTTAAAAAATAGTGTGGCTCAGTGGTGCAGTGCTTAACTAGCATGGGTGAGGCCCTGGGTTTGATCCTCAGCACCACATAAAAATAAATAAAAGTATTGTGTCCAAATACAACTAAAAAAAATTATTTTTTTTAAATAGTGATTGAATATTATGATGTAATATTAAGTCAAATAAGTCACTTCCTTTTGGCGTAATAAGTCACTTCCTCTTGGCATGAATTCCCAGAATCACAAAAATGTTGGTAGCTCTGAATGGACTTCAGTGGTGTGCAGCTGAGCCTGGGAGGGTGATGGCAGGGAGCCCCTCACCATCCCAGCTACTGTGGGCTTATTTCAAACCATAAAAAGTGTACAGATAAAATGAGACCTGTGCTAAGAGCTGGAGGATGAGGATGAAAAAAGAAGACTATCCTAGGAACCTCCCTGCTTTCTAGGAATAGACCCCGAGGGACACATAGACAATGCCAATTTTCTTACATTGCCTCAGCTTCACAATGCCTGTGGGTGGTAAAGGTGTGTCACCACCCAGAGTGGAAAGAGACATGCAGGTCTGATTATAGAAGACATTGGATAAACCAATGAAGGCGTGCATAATGGGGAATGATAACTTGATTCCTTACACATTAACATAAATAATGATATGTTCTGGTGAATATCTGAATGTAAATATAATAATGATACACATGGAAGCCCTAAATTACATACTACTATACAAATGCAATATACATATTCTCCATTTTAGTTTCTTCTCCTTAAAGCCATTTCATTGTTCTTAGAATTACTTAGATCAATTTTGATGTATGAGAGAGAAAAGAAGGTAGGTGCTCTGCCTTCCAGCAGTTTATCATCTTCTTAAGGACACTGGAAGAAAGTATGTGAAAAACCAGAAAAGCTTTGCAAAAGCAGGGGGTACCTGATAAGGACATCTAACCCAGGGTTAGCCTTTCTGGGGTCTCTCTTATAGGATGGAATGTCCACAGAATGGGGGAAGTGGGAGTGGACACTCTAAATTTGGAGTAATCACATTTACCAAAGCCAGGCTGTTTTGCTTGAACCCCATAAAGGAGGATTTGGATTTCTTGACATCTTACCTGAGAACAGAGACTAAATTAGAATCTGCTGCTGCATTTTTTAAGTCAAGTCCCTCATCCTTTAAGACAAATTGTTCCAAGATTTCAAAGATCCTGTTTGACTCCTTGGAAGAAACAAACGCTTGCTTGCACTTCTCAATAAACTCTTCATGATAGAAACATTCTAAGCTGTGCCTGTAGTCTTTATAATCAAAGAAATAAGTTTTAAGATCTTAGAATTGTAGTTTTACATTTTCAATTGCACATGCTTTCTATAAATGCCCAATAAGGAATTTTCTATCTGTATCTAGATCACCTTCTTTCCATGGTGGTGCCATATTTCACAGCCCATTCTGAATGTTAATGAAAGAAAACAACAGGGGTATGTCTGTGTGTCTATACTTGGCAAAGCTTAGAGGAGTGCAGTGTATTTCTAGGGCAAGATGCCCTAAAACAGATGACACCCATGGGTACAGCTGCAGCTCTGCCATTGGGCAGGTAGGTCCCTTAAACTCTAATAAGACGTAGAGTCAGACGATTGGATGATGTCTGGGTCCCTTGAGTTCCTATTTACTGTAATTCCAAAACCACTGCCTAATTCAAGTCAGGGGGGTTCTGGGTTGCTAAAATGCCCTCCTGTCTCTGGAGGGTGAAGGCTATTATCAATGTACATATAGGGGGAAATAAAAAACATAAAATAGTCTGGTAGGTTTCTAAGATACCCACCCACCTTTTGACTCCTTATTAACTTGTCTGCCCTGTGGTTCAGGTTAGTGCCAAGACAGACCTGAAGACTATAGGTCAGCTTCATGTTTCAAAATTTTTAACGGAATTTGGGATGATTGAGCTGAACTTGAACCTCACCCACTAAAGTGAGGTATCTTGAAGATCAAGTATCTCTAAGAATCAAGAGTATAAACTGATAGCTCTATATTGCCTTATAACTACTAACTGTACAAATGGTTTATTGCTATCCTAGCTGTAGACTGTGAGATTTTGGAGGCTACCTAAATAATTTAAAGGGTATCATAGATCCAAAAGAGAATTTAGCACTTCCTTTCAGAGAATTTTTTCATAATCCACCCATTGTGTACCTTCTAATTTAGATATTTAGCCCACATACAACGCTTCAAGAATAAAATATAAAACAAGCTAACTTTTCAATAAGATCAAAAATCAAAGAGGATCACAAGTTCAAAGCCATCCTCAGCAAAAGCGAGGCACTAAGCAACCCAGTGAGACGCTGTCTCTAAATAAAATACAAAATAGGGGCTAGGGATGTGACTCAGTGGTCGAGTGCCCGAGATCAATCCCTGGTACAAAAAAACAAAAAACGAATACTATGATACTATGGGGAAATAAGATGAACTTAACCCAAGTACACAGAAAGGCTTGATTCTTGTATGAATTAGTGAATATTAATCATTGGATGTGATCCAGATTACGATGGGTAAAATACTATTACCATTACAGACTTCAGCCAGATGTCCATGTTGTTCTGGAATCCATTTGGTTATTCACTCTTATTGGCTATTTACTCTGTGACTAATGAGCCAGGCACTGTTTTTAGGTGTTTCACATGTGCATTACTCATGAGCAGATTCTTGTCCATCTATTTTATAAAAGAAACTAAGGCTTACCAGTATTAAGTAATTTTCTCAAACTCACACAGCTTGGAACTGAAAAATCCAGGATTCTAAGGACATGCCTGGAGTCAGATTCTAAAAACTTCACGCCTACAGTAAATATTTAAGATATCTTTAGGCTGCCCAACATTCACTGACTCTACACTAGTTTCAGTAACAGCACTAGATCCACCATCCCAAATCAATTCATGTTATTAAGTTCACGACTTCACGTGCATTCCAGAGGCAGTCTATGATCCAGGATTAACTATCAGAGTATCACATTTTCTTGGCACCCATGATTGAGTTAAATACAAGCACATGGCCCAGGTTAGGCCAAGAATGGCTCAGTGCTAGGAATTGAGCCAATTCTGCTGAACTTGAACCTGGAGTACTACAGTCATCTTCCTTCTATGAGGGAGAAGCCAAGGAATTGAGCCAACATCAGAACAACAGAGCCAGGATGAGAAACCAAAAGATCAGAGCCTAGTGACATCATCTGAGCCACTAGTTGAAGCCTGARCAGAACCAGACTGAATCCTGGGCTTTGCAATTATATTAGTTATAAGGTCCCTTTTTGTTGATGCCAGTTGGAGTCTCTTGCAACCAAAAGCCTTGTGACTGATAACAGTGTTTTTCCCCCAGGGTCCAGAATGATTTGGCTTATAGGCAGACTCACCTGGTTACCAAGGGTGAGATTTCTTTTCTTTTTTTTTTTAATATTTATTTTTTAGTTGTAGTTGCACACAATATCATTACTTATTTATCTTTATGTGGTGCTGAGGATCGAACCCAGGGCCTCGCACATGCTAGGTGAGCACTTTGCCGCTGAGCTACAGCCCCAGCCCAAAGGGTGAGATTTCAACACCACCCCCAGCACTGAATTTGAACGACCTATGTGGGCCAATATTCTATGACTTACCTCCCATCCATCTGCTCATATGATAAGGACTGTTGCCTGCCTGATCCCCAAAAACATTTGAGGATGCACCATCTACCACCACTTTACCTCCCCACATTAATTAGGCCCTTACATCAGTAAATCATAACCTTTTGGGGTCACGGAATCTTTTGAGATTTTGAGAATCTGATCAAAGACACTGGTCATCTTCTCGCCTCCCCCAAAAACACACATGCATATAAAAATCCTATTTTTAGTGTTATTTTAAGGGTGCCTCATATCCCTCCTGAGGTTTCTCTAGATGCAGATTCTCTGCTATACCTTGACATTGCTCTTCCTGTTCTATCTTGGCACATGTCCTCAAGACACCATTTTCAAAAATAAAGTTAATCAGGGGCCGAGATTGTGGCTCAGTGGCATAGCGCTCGCCTAGCACAGGCAGGACCCGGGTTCGATCCTCAGCACCACATAAAAATAAAGGCATTGTTTAAAAAAAAATAAAAATAAAGTTAATCATTTCATTTAGAAGCAATCTGATATGAGGTAGTGCTTCATCAAACTTTAGCACCCATACAATCTCCTGGTCATCATGTTAAAATGCAAATTTTAATTCAGTAGACCTAAAATGGTACCTGAGATTCTGCATTTCTAACAATCTCCCAGGGTTGACAGTTCATGGATTACACTCTGAAGAGTATAGATAAAGAAGAACAGGCATGGATCTTAGAATCAGAGAGATGTGGGTTCAAATCTTGGATTGGTCATTTATGTGATATGGGTAAGTCATTTGACAAATATATATAGTAGCTTTCATTTGCTCCTCTGCAAAACCATAATTATTATTCCTGCTTTGCAGAGCTAAACTTTAAGGATGAAATGTGATTATATATACAAACCACCAATTAATGAAAGCTCTCTTCCCTTTGACTCAGGGTTTCTCCACGTTCACATTGTTGACATTGTAGACTGGATACATATTTATTCTGGAGGGCTGTCCTGTGCACTGAAGAATGGTTAGCACCCCTTGCCTCTACCTACTAGAAGCCAGTATCTCTCCCCCAATTAGGACCACCAAAAATGTCTCCAGATAAGATCAAATGTCTGGCAGGGAGGGGACAAAATTGGCAATAGTCAAGAACCTCTGCTCTAGGGCTGGGGATGTGGCTCAAGCAGTAGCGCGCTCGCCTGGCATTCGTACGGCCTGGGTTCGATCCTCAGCACCACATACAAACAAAGATGTTGTGTCCGCCGATAACTAAGAAATAAAATATTAAAATTCTCTCTCTATCTCTCTCGCTCTCTCTTTAAAAAAAAAAAAAAAGAACCTCTGCTCTAGATCTACACATTAACTGCCAGATATTCTGGGTCTTCTCTGAGCTCTTTAACTTCCTAACTATTCTTCCATGACCCATCATTAGCTCCCATTTTCAGTTTCAAAAATCTTCAAAATGAAAAAATAGGGCTGGGGTTATAGCTCAGTCACAGAACACTTGCCTCGCACATGTGAGACACTGGGTTGAATCTTCAGCACCAYGCAAAAATCGATAAACAAAATAAAGATATTGTACCCATGTATAATTAAAAAATATTTTTTTAAAAATGAAAAAATATATATTGCATAAAATGGATAATATTAAATGCTTAAGGAATGTTTTCAATCATTTAAAAAAWTTTTTCCTAGGAAGACATACAAAACATTAACCTGTGTTAATCACATTCACTCACCTATATTTTTGATCATTAAAGTGACTGGGTTAAGTTTTTCTATCACAAACGACCAGTCCTTGAAAACCAGTTCCCCCAACTCTTGGAGATCTTTATAAAATCTGATGTGAAGCCCTTTACTAATGATCTTGGCCTTAAGTCTTCCAATCTTCCATTTTTCCTCTTCATTCACCAGAGCACCTGAGGACAGACTCTCCTCCTCTTCCCCACTTAATATCTTCAGCAGCGTGGTCCTGGTCCTGAAATAAAAATACTGAAATTGTGACTGGTTCCGAAATGCTGCCTGGATGATCTCAAACTCCGTCAGGCTGCAGTTGGGAGTCTCCAGGACCCAAGGATAACCATTTTTTGCAGCAACATAAAGATTCTGTTCTGCTTTGGATAAATTTGATAGGTCTTTTGCTTTGGAGAACATGAAAGGTGAGTGGTCAGGAAAGAAGTCCCCATAGGTCTGACCCAACATGCAGATGAAGAAGGGAAAGCAGCTGTTCACATAGTCAAGACAGAGCTTCAGCTGCTGGGAGAGGAGACAGCAACCCTGTCTATACAAGTTGGCCGGCAAGGACTTCTGGGCCTTCAAGACTGACCACCTCAGGTCCACAGGTTTGAAGTATGTACCCCGGGAATTGCAGAGTTCATTAAGCTGAGGGAAGATGTTGGTTGCCAAAAAGTTCCTCTCTTCTTGAAAATCATTCAGAGTGGAGCAGATGTAAGGCCGAATGGGTGTCTGAGGCTTTACATTGAATTGGGCAACTCTTTCTACRTTCTCATTTGCCTTCTGGTTCATTTTCCTTTGCTTGGGGAAGATATCACATTCAAATCAGGACGGTTTTCATCCTSGGGCGGCCTCCAGCCCTCACAGCTCTTAGATCTTTCTCCTAATGATGTTTGCTAGGAACAGATGGCAATCTTTCCTCAAGGTAGTTCATGAGGATCATCATTTGAGGATGAGAGATGCCCACCATTTGAAGGTCAGGAAAAAAAATCTTGATTGTTAGGACTGAAAAAGAAAAAAACATTCATTTTAGAGTTCCAAGTAGCTCCTATCTCCCCACTTCCCCGAAAGCTCTTACTRAAGAACTGAGCACAACAAGATGAGAGGGTGCTGACACAGGCCTCCCTCCCCCAGTCTCCCATTCACTTCCCCAGGGGTTCTTCACCTAACTGCTACTTTTGTCCCATATGTTAAAGGAAGAGAAGTCCAGAAAAGGAGCCTAATGTGTTTAGGAGCAGAATAAACCAAGGAAGATTCATGACTGTGACCAGAAGCAAGAACGAAAACAGGTATAAAGTTGAGGTCAGCACAGGAAAAACAAATCAAAAGTATCAAGACCAACAACGTGGCTGATAGCTGAGAGGAAGTCTGACTCCAGGACCCATGATTTTTTTTTTTTTTAAATCTTAAATTTTACAGGCTCGCACAACATTCCATTCACCTACATGGGCTAGAATTTAATTCCACTGAGTTAATGGAAAAACACACAGCCTCTAACAACATCATTATGCTTGCAAGATGTCTAAAAAAAAAAAAAAACAAACAAAAAAAACAAGATAAAGAAAACCACCTGGTTTTATAAGCTTTTCCTTGGTACAACTCATTTCCATACCAAATGTTGCTTTTCTGGTTATGTTTGTTGCTTTTACTTGTGGAAGAACACATGATGTCACAAGCATTTGGCAATTTTTTAAAAAGCACAGTACTGTTTTTAAAAATGTTAACCCTAGGGTTGGGGTCGTGGCTCAGTGCTAGAGCGCTTGCCTAGCATGTGTGAGGCACTGGGTTTGATCCCCGGCACCACATAAAAATTAAAAGGGG